CCCCCCCCCCCCCTCCCAAAAAAAATTAGGCCCAAGCATTCACTAACCTTCGTCATCGCCTGCGCGTATCAAGCACCGAGGACCCTAGGACCCAACGCCGGGAACGGAAATCCTGAGTGGGTTTAGGGTTTTAGGTTTAGGGCNNAGGGTTTAGGGTTTAGGGACCTAAGCCCGAGAAGCCAAACCCCAAACCCCTCGACCACGAATCACAAATCCTTCAGCGTTGAATATGGGGCCTTTAATAAAGAATAGGGGATTGGGGGTATATTACACTATACTTATAACATCTTATATCAAGGAGGCCCCCGACCCTAAACCCTAAATCCTAAACCTAAACCCTAAACCCTAAACCCTGGCCCCGGTATTCTGTCTCGCAGTGCGGGGTTCTCCTCGCCTCCTCGGAGTCGTCGTCATCGCCGTCCGCCTCAGGAGATTTCCAAAGCTGGGGGGATTCGGTGTGTTTAGGGTTGGCCTAAAGCCTAAACTCTAAACCCTAAACCCCAAACCCTAAGCCCTAAGAGGAGTCATATGCTCCTTTGAGCTTTGGGGTATGAGGTTTTAGGGTTCAGCTGCGGGAGCCCTACGTGATCTATCCCACACTCAAGCGACAAACCAGTCTGGCACGCACAAAACCCACGCTTTCCCCGCTTGTGAAGCTTCAAACACTCAGATCTAGCTGCTGGAGTATGGCAAGCACCAGAGGCTCAAAGAACAGCTAGAATTCGACTCTACAGTCGGCCGGAGGGATTTTGGAGCGAGGTCTTGGGCTCTAGGCTTTAGGGTTTAGGGACTGTTGGATTGGTCTTGGGTCTTAGGCTCAAGGCTCATGGTGAACATGTCAAGAGCTCCAAACCCAAACGAGACCAGTGTTTCCGTGACACCAGCGAGCCTTAATGGCCCATGCTCGAACCCTGGCAACCACCCTTCACCCCTTAAGCAGAAGACTCCGTCTTCTTCAAGTCCTCTCCCCCGAAACTCCGTCGCCTCAGAATCCTTACGAACGTCACTAATCCTCGTGAAATGCCCTGGCTCCTAAATCCCTAAAAACCCCAATCCTTAATCTGAAAACCCATCAACCCAAAAGCCTAGACCGCAAAGTCCAACATTCTTGCAAGGCTCCCTTAACGATCTATAGGGTTCCTTTAAGAGCTCAGTTAAGGGCTCCCCTTTCCCCAAACCCTAAAGGGCCAAAGCCACCTTGGCAGCGGTCCCCGCGGCCTCCTCCTCGCCATCCACCTAGTCACAAGGCTTCAAGGTTTGTTTGGTGTTTACGGGATCAAGTGTTTTAGGGTTTAGGGTTTGATAGGGTTTAGGTTTTAGGGTTCAGGGGATCAAGTGCTTTAGGGCCTTAGGGTTCATAAGGGTTTAGCGTTTTGGATAGGTTTGGTGTGCGGCTGCAGGCCACTCTGCAGCGTAGTGGCCTTGACAAGGCAGTTGTCACCTACACCATGCACAGTCTTGGAGCATCCTAGGCTGTTGTTAAGGAACTTGCTTCAAGTTACTACAATGATTGAGATATATAGTAAATCACTATAGGAACCTCCTAAACCCTGAACCCCTTAGTTCAAGTTCTTTAGCAGCAACCCAGTATCCTAATGTAGGGGCCTTAATAATTAGAACAGGGTTCTGGGGCCCATTATACTATAACTATCATAAGGACCCCCCAAAAAAAGTATTGGTAAACCCTAAACCCCTAAACCCCTAAACCCTGTTTAGGCCCCTACATTACAGAAGACGGGCTGTCGCTGTTTTTGGAACCATGGCCTCCTCACGCCAGTCTCCCCGCTGGCGCTTCGTGGAGGCCTCGAAGATCACCGGGGGAGGCTCTAGGGCAAAACTTTTAGGGTGAGGCTATAGTTTTAGGGTTTAGGGTTTAGGGGTTTCGGGGTTAGGGTTTAGGGTTTAGGGGTTTAGGGATTTAAGGGTTTAGGGTTGCGGGGTTTAGCGGTTCAGGGGTTTAGGGATTTAGGGTTTAAGGTTCTCTCTAGGACTGTGCGACTGTGAGGATTTAGGGGTACAGGGTACTAGGGCGCTAATATGCTAGTAGGGCACTCGCGGGAGCCGGCTAAGGGCTGTTTGGGCTGGGCTGTTTGGGCTTCTGCGCCGCTCGGGTTGAAGGGAGGAAGTTTGAAAGCGGCTCTATAACTCAGGATTGAGTAACGTAGGGGCCTGAATAATTAGAATAGGGTTTTGGGGCTCATTATACTATAATCACAATAAGGAGCCCGCAAAATAGTATAGGCAAGTATTTAGGCCCCTACAGTAACCGTTGAAGGAGCCCTGAAGGCAAGCCCTAAAGGAAGCCCTGCAGGGATCCTTCTAGTGACCCTCAAAGGACCTTCTTGTCAACCCTTAAAGGAACCCGATAGTTCAAGATTTAGGGTTTATGGTTTTGGGTTTAGGGTTTGGGGTTTTGGGTTTAGGGTTTTGTTTATCAGCCTTTGAGATTTGGGAACATGTGGTCGCAGGCTTTGGGGCCCCTAAGGGTGAAGGTTTTCTGATGAGACCTGCGTCTTGACCAAATGGGAAAGAACCAGGGTTGATACTTGCATGTATATATGCATGCATGCATGCATATGTATGTACATATGTACATATGTATATGTATATATATATATAAGCATATATGTATATATGTACGTATGTATGTATGTATGTATGCATGCTCTTATGTTTTGCGTTGTTTTGTTGCTTTCCTTCGTCTCATGAACATTACATGTCATAACCATGCTTATTTTCCTTTTTTGTCCTATTGCAGAGCGTGCCAGTGAAGCCCAGGGTGATAGCTTTAGGGGTTTACGGTTCAGGGGCTTCGGGTGTTGGGAAAACCCACCCTGAACACCGAATGGCATTATACAAGGGTGGAGGGCTGCAGAGTAATCGTCGAGAGGTCGACGTTTCCTCCAGCCTCTAGGCCCAACCTTCAGAATCTCAAGTCAATGCCCGGCAGAAGAGCACGAAACACATGATGTGGCTTCCATGACCGGGTGATCTACCGAGTCATTAACGAGCCCCTAAACCCTAAACCCCTAAACCCCTAAACCCTAAACCCCTAAACCCCTAAATTCTCAAACGAGCCCGGTGGCCTTGACGTCCGTGATCTTCGTATGCCAGGCTGGGGCTTCGTACGCTTGGTCGTCGA